TGGCTCTCTATAACTCTGCTTTCAAGGAAATAAATAAATCTTTTTTTTTAACTTCTATTTAATGAATATAAATTTCCAAAGTACAGCTTATGGAGTACAATGGCTTCCCCCCCACGATAACTTCCCTCCCACCCGCAACCCTCCCCTTTCACACTCCCTTTCCTCTTACATTCACATCAAGATTCATTTTCATTCTGTCGGTTGTCTTTTCACTCTCCTGACTGTTTCTTTTGCAGTACAGAAACTTCTCAATTTGATGCAATCCCAATAGTTGATTTTGGCTTTGACTGCCTGTGCCTCTCGGGTCTTTTCCAGAAATTCTTTGCCTGTGCCAATATCTTGAAGGGTTTCTCCAATGTTCTCTAGTAACTTGATGGTGTCAGGTCGTAGATTTAGGTCTTTAATCCATGTTGAGTGGATTTTTGTGTAAGGTGTAAGGTAGGGGTCTTGCTTCATGCTTCTGCACGTGGAAATCCAATTTTCCCAGCACCATTTATTGAATAGACTGTCCTTACTCCAGGGATTAGTTTTAGATCCTTGATCAAATATAAGTTGGCTGTAGATGTTTGGGTTGATTTCTGGTGTTTCAATTCTGTTCCATTGGTCTATCCATCTGTTTCTGTACCAGTACCATGTTGTTTTAATTACAACTGCCCTGTAGTATGTCCTGAAATCTGGTATTGTGATGCCTCCGGCTTTGTTTTTGTTGTACAAGATTGCTTTAGCTATTCGAGGTCTCTTGTGCCTCCATATAAATTTCAGCACCATTTTTTCCAGATCTGAGAAGAAGGTCTTCGGTATCTTGATTGGGATTGCATTGAATCTGTAAATTGCTTTTGGGAGAATGGACATTTTGATGATATTGATTCTTCCAATCCATGAGCATGGAAGATTTTTCCATTTCTTGGTATCCTCTTCTATTTCTTTCTTTAAGGTTTTGTAATTTTCATCGTAGAGATCTTTAACGTCTTTGGTTAAGTTTACTCCAAGGTATTTGATTGTTTTTGTAGCTATTGTGAATGGGATTGATCTTAGAAGTTCTTCCTCAGCCATGGCGTTGTCTGTGTATACAAAGGCTATTGATTTTTGTGCATTGATTTTATACCCTGCTACTTTGCCAAACTCTTCTATGAGTTCCAATAGTCTCTTAGTAGAGTTCTTTGGGTCCCCTAAATACAGAATCATGTCATCTGCAAAGAGGGATAGTTTGAGTTCTTCCTTCCCAATTTGTATCCCTTTAATTTCTTTTTCTTGCCTAATAGCTCTGGCTAGAACCTCCAGAACTATATTGAATAGCAGTGGTGAGAGTGGGCATCCCTGTCTGGTTCCAGATCTCAGTGGAAATGCTTCCAACTTTTCCCCATTCAATAGGATGTTGGCTGTGGGTTTTTCATAGATTGCTTTGATTGTATTGAGGAATGTTCCTTCCAAACCCAGTTTGCTTAGAGTTTTCATCATGAATGGGTGTTGTATTTTATCAAATGCTTTCTCGGCATCTATTGAGATAATCATATGGTTTTTCTTCTGCAGTCTGTTAATGTGGTGTATCACATTGATTGTCTTGCGCACATTAAACCATCCCTGCATACCAGGGATAAATCCCACTTGGTCTGGGTGGATGATCTTTCTGATGTGTTGTTGCATTCTATTGGCGAGAATTTTATTGAGGATTTTTGCATCTATGTTCATCAGGGATATTGGTCTGTAATTCTCTTTCAGTGCTGCATCTTTTTCCGGCTTAGGAATTAAGGTGATGCTGGCTTCATAGAAAGAATTTGGGAGGACTCCCTCTTCTTCGATTGTTCTGAATAGTTTGAGAAGAATTGGAGTTAGTTCTTCTTTAAACGTCTGGTAGAATTCAGCAGTGAATCCATCTGGTCCTGGGCTTTTCTTTGTTGGGAGGGCCTTTATTACTGTTTCAATTTCTGTCTCAGTTATGGGTCTGTTTAGGTTTTCGATGTCTTCCTGGTTCAATTTAGGTAGGTTGCATGTGTCCAGGAATCTATCCATTTCTGATAGGTTTCCCTGTTTGCTGGCATACAAGTCCTTGTAGTAATTTCTGATGATTCTTTTTATTTCTGTGGTGTCTGTTGTTACATTTCCGTTTTCATCTCTGATTTTATTGATTTGGGTCTTTTCTCTTCTTTTTTTAGTTAGTTGGGCCAATGGGGTGTCAATTTTGTTTATTTTTTCAAAAAACCAGCTCTTCGTTTGGCTGATTTTTTGTAATGTTTTTCTTGATTCAATCCTGTTAATTTCTTCTCTGATTTTAATTATTTCTCTTCTCCTACTAGATTTGGGCCTGATTTGCTGTAGGTTTTCTAGATCCTTGAGGTGAATTGAAAGCTCATCTATTTGGTGTCTTTCCAATTTCTTGATGTAGGCACCTATTGATATAAACTTTCCTCTTAACACTGCTTTTGCTGTGTCCCATAAGTTTTGGTATGTTGTGCTGTTATCCTCATTTACTTCCAGAAAGTTTTTGATTTCTCTTTTGATTTCTTCTATGACCCATTGTTCATTCAGGAGCATGTTGTTCAATCTCCATGTGTTTGCGTATGCTCTAGGGATTCCTGAGTTACTAATTTCCAACTTCATTCCTTTATGGTCTGAGAAGCTGCATGGTATGATTCTAATTCTTTTGAATTTGCTGAGGCTTGCTTTATGGCCTAGTATGTGGTCAATCCTAGAGAAGCTTCCATGTACTGCTGAGAAGAATGTAAAATCTTTAGCTGTAGGATTGAAAGTTCTGTATATATCTGTTAGATCCATTTGGGCTATAGTGTCGTTTAAATCTACTGTATCCTTGTTGGTCTTCTGACCAGATGATCTGTCTATTTCTGAGAGTGGAGTATTGAAGTCCCCCAGTACTACTGTATTGGGGTCTAAGTCTCCCTTTAAGTCCGTTAATAAATCTTTTAGATAAACTGGTGCCCTGTAGTTAGGTGCATATACATTGATAATTGTTATATCTTCCTGTTGAATTGATCCCTTAATCATGATATAGTGTCCCTCTTTGTCTCTCTTAACAGTTTTTGTGGTAAAGTTTATGTTGTCCGATATTAAGATGGCTATGCCCGCTCTTTTTTCATTTCTGTTGGCATGGTATATCTTTTTCCAGCCTTTCACTTTCAGTCTGTATGGATCTTTGTTGGAAAGATGTGTTTCTTGTAAGCAGCAAATAGATGGGTTTTGTTCCTTAACCCAATCAGCCAATTGGTGTCTTTTAACTGGACAGTTCAGGCCATTCACGTTCAAAGTGACTAATGATAAGTGGTAACTTTGCCCTGCCATTTACCAAAGATAAGTTCTAATATATGCTTTGAATTCCCTGTGATCTTTTGCTGTGAGGTTTCCTTCCTTGGTTTCCTTCCTTTACCTTCTTTCATATTGATGACCGTGTTTCTGTGTTTCTGTGTTTAACACATCTTTAAGCATCTTTTGCAGGGCTGGACGAGTGGCAACAAATTCTTTCAATTTCTGTTTGCAATGAAAAGTCTTTATTTCACCTTCATTCACAAATGATAGCTTTGCAGGATATAATATTCTGGGCTGGCAGTTGTTCTCTCTTAGTACCTGGGCTATATCTCGCCATTCCCTCCTAGGTTTTAGAGTTTCTGATGAGAAGTCAGCTGTGAGTCTGATTGGAGATCCTCTGAGAGTAATCTGACGTTTCTCTCTTGCACATTTTAGGATCTTTATTATCTTTATATACAGAAGATCAGTTTAGTATATATTAAGTAAAGATTTCAACAGTTTGCACACAGAAACACAAAGTGAAAAATACTGTTTCAGTACTAGTTACAGCATTAAACCACAATGTACAGCACATTAAGGACAGAGATCCTACATGAGGAGTAAGTGCACAGTGACTCCTGTTGTTGACTTAATAAATTGACACTCTTGTTTATGGTATCAGTAATCTCCCTAGGTTCTTGTCATGAGTTGCCAAGGCTATAGAAGCCTTTTGAGTTCACCGACGCTGATCATATTTAGACAGGGTCATAGTCAAAGTGGAAGTTCTCTCCTCCCTTCAGAGAAAGGTACCTCCTTCTTTGATGACCCATTCTTTCCACTGGGATCTCACTCGCAGAGATCTTTCATTTAGGTCACTTTTTTTTTGGCCAGAGGGTCTTCACTTTCCATGACTGAAATACTCTCATGTGCTTTTCAGCCAGATCCACATGCCTTAAGGGCCTCTGCCTGAGGACAGAGTGCTGTTTAGGACATCTGCCATTCTATGAGTCTGCTGTGTATCCCGCTTCCCATGTTGGATAGTTCTCTCCCTTTTTTATTCTATCAGTTAATATTTGCAGACACAAATCTTGTTTATGTGATCCCTTTGACACTTAGTCCTATCATTATGACTAATTGTGAACAGAAATTGATCACTTGGACTAGTGAGATGGCATTGGTACATGCCACCTTGATGGGATTGAATTGGAATTCCCTGGTATGTTTCTAACTCTACCATTTGGGGCAAGTCAATTTTAGCATGTCTCAAATTGTACATCTCTTCCCTCTCTTATTCCCACTCTTATATTTAACAGGGATCACTTTTCAGTTAAGTTTCAACACTTAAGAATAAATGTGTATTAATTACAGAATTAAACCAATAGTATTAGTAGAACAAACAAAAAATACTTAGAGGGATAACGTATTAAGTTGTTCATCAACAGTCAGGGCAAGGGCTGATCAAGTCACCATTTCTCATACTGTTCATTTCACTTTAACAGATTTCCTTTTTGGTGCTCGGTTAGTTGTCACCGAACAGGGAGAACATATGATTTATTTTCTATTAACTTTGTGCATATAAGTCCAACTCTATATGAAGTAACGATTTTAAAACTTTGTACACCCACACACACACACACACAACTGTTTGAAAACACATTTCACAGTTAACTCTCCTAATGCAATTCATTCAGGACAGAGGTCCTGTGTGGGAGGTTAGTACGCTGTGATTTCAGTTGTGAGTTTAAGAAACACAAACTGTGGCGATTCTGGAGGATGAAGGGCTCCTGTTCAGGAGCTTGGGATGATCACACAATGTGGTTGATGCTTCAAGACAATGGTTGATTTCCAGAGGCTCCTAGTAGGTGCAACGAAACTCCCAGGGACTGTGACAACCTGAGGTCATACATTGTGGTAAGAGAGAGGGCCATGAGGTTCGCCCTCACGATTGACTTGGAGAAATCTGTCACCAAGACTTCCATGAGAGGTGATGGAGAGGAAAGCATGAAGCAGGATTATGTGTAGCCAAAGGAGAAGGAGGCCATTATTCCCCATCTTTCTCAGCTGCTTCAGAATTCCTTCATGAAGCAGAGAGTTCTGTGCCTCCAATCTCAACAATTGCTTAGCGACATGACACGCTGGAAAGCACACATCTCGATCCAACATTGTGGCCTCACACAAAACACAGTCTCTCACCCCTTGCAAATGCAGAAGACATAGACATTTGGTTCCAACCTAAGCTTCCAATTCACACCTAGGACAGTTCATAAGGACAAACCCTTTGCCCTTGCAAATACAAACACTTAACTCGTGCACTGTCACCCAACCACATAATCGTGAAGTCCTCTTGCACTAACGTCAGCGGAACAGCAACAACAGAGGCCTCTTTGCAGGTTTGTTCTTCCTCTTGGGAGGTTTGCTCCTTCCTCCCGGACAAGGGAGGTTGCCAGGATTCATGGCTACCTGCTGAGTGATGTGCCCAGCTGCCCCGTGCAGCAGGGCCCTTTCCTGGTCAGGATGGTGCTTCCTCATCCCTGCGGCAGATCTTGCCTGGTGAATTACGATCGCATTGCTGGGCAGCGTGGGCTCCACTGTCCTGAGGCTGAATGCACTCCTTGGTGTGTTCTGGGCTTGGAGGGATTGCCACGCATCCAAGGTCAAGTCCTGAGTTGTTTGCTCCAAGTGCTCCTCTGACTCTCCAGCTTCAAGAGGGGAAGGCCTTTCAAGCTCTCCTGGTGTATGGCCACGTGTGTTTGCAGCCTCCAAGTCGGAGGGTCCCCTGCCTGGAGACACTGTCCCATGTTCTCCTCCAACTCCACTCTTGCGGACATAAAATAGCACGTAGGCACTTTGATTCAGGACACAAGTGGTGTCACAGGCAGTGACCTTCGCATCATCCATTTTATACCAGTGGCCACTGCCAGCTTTGACATAGCAGAAGTAGTGTCCTGATTGACACCTCAAGCCAACGTGGACGAGAACCGCATAGAGAACATAGTCCAGTGGCCTCCCGTTCTGCTGAGACATGTAAGGTCTCATGTCCAGGCACTCGGGATAGTGCACTTGTCCTCCAAGTTTCTCACCCGTGAACTCAGAAAACCGTTTCAATACAAAGAGAAGCACCTTGCCAGCCGATTGCAAGGTGAGTGTCTTGGAAGCAGCTGTCTTCTGTAGGCAGGTAGCACAGTGATAGGCGTTTTCTCCAGCTAGCTCTTCAGGTTGCACCAAGTGCTGCAAAGCTTGCTCCACACTGTCGGCTGTCTTGATATCCAACGCGATCTCCAGGTAAGGGTCCAAGGTTTCTGAAATGCCTTGGCACTGGAGACATTGGATTTGAGACCTCCAGTGTCCTCCCACTATCTGCTGGGATGGAGATTGGTCCTCTTGGGGACCCACCCCGTCCGTGAGCCCAGGCAGACCTGCTGCCTTCAGGACATCCAGAGCAAACATCAGAAATTCGTGGGCGTCTTCCTGCCTGTTTGTGTGAAAGCCAGCAGCCAGCACTTGACAGGGCTGGATCACGTCGCCAGGACTGTGCAGGGCCCAGAGAAAGTGCGTTTCCACGGCACACAGAATGCAGCGATCCGAACGACGACAGCTTTGAGAATGCACCTGGGACAGCATATAGTTGGCGAGGGGTGGGGTATACGTGAGACACTGCAGGGCTGCATTCAGGTAGCAGGTGTTGCCCGTATTCTGCAGACCGGCCCCAATGCCATAAGGTCTCTTCCAGCTGCAGCTCAGAGAAGCTCCTCCACTGGGAGCCAGATGGGTCGCCCCCGAAGCCAAATCACTTTGCAGCGGGAGCTCTTTCTGAGGTGAGGGTGGTGATTTCCCTGGGAGACAAACACCACCATGAGTATCATCCCCCTCTGAGCTAGAATGGGAAAGTTGGCGTGTTGGCAAGTCATTAAAGTGGAACTCACCTTCCTTGAGAGGTGAAGCAGCCATCATGTCTCCAGGAGCCACTGTCACAAGGCAGCAAGATGCTTCCACCTCTGAGACTGGCATCCAAGGACCACCTGTTCCTCTCCCCCCTCCTTTTATAGTCCACACTGCATGCCACACCCTGGACCTGCTACAGGACCCACCCATCCGCTTCCAGCCCTTGATGGGATTAGGGGCTTTAGGGTGTGGTCTCACGCCCTCACAGCCTCTGGGCCTTCACCGCTTGATTCCACTACCTGGGGAAGATGCATGTGAAGGATAAGGCTTTCATGTGCCTTGTGGAACTTGGTGATGTGCCATGATGTGCTTCTATGTGCCTTGGAGTTCTTCAAGGAAAACAAAGAAGAATGCTGGAGAGACTGATGGCTGAAAGCAGGTTTTGGGTTTTAGTTTGCTGAGCCCTTATAAAGGAACATTTTAACTTTTGTTTAGTTTTGCAATTCTGTACATATTCTCCAAAGAAGCTTTTTACGTATGGAATACAACCCTTCCAACCCTTCTCCTCATTCATCTGCCATTCCCCGTCCCATTCTCCATTAAGATATATTTTCTTCTTTTTTAAATGGTTCTTTATTTATTGGAAAGTCAGAGTTACACAGAGCGAGGAGAGGCAGAGAGAGAGAGAGAGAGAGAGAGAGAAAGAGAGAGAGAGGGTTCCATCCGATTACTCACTCCCCTACTGGCCTAAAAAGCAAGAGTTGCACCAATCTGAAGCCAGGAGACAGAGGCTTCCTCCATGTCTCCCATGCAGGAACAGTCGGCCAAGGGCTTGGGCCATCTTGTCCTGCTCTCCAAGGCCATAACAGAGAGCTAGATTGCAAGTGGAGCAGCCGGGTCTCAAACCAGTGCCCATACGGGATGCTGGCATTTCAGGACAGGGCGTTAACCCACTGCACCACAACGATGGCCCCTATACTACTTTTCTAAGATTTCCATATGAATTTGAAAGGTGCTGTTATGTAGAGGCACAGGGAGGGACGCATGAAGGGAGAGAGACTGAGAGAGAGAGAGAGAGAGAGAGAGAGAGAGGTTGTCCTTCCAATGGTTCACTCCCCAAATTGCCACAACACATGATCTGTGCCTATCCACATCCTTGAGCCAGAAGCTTCTTCCAGGTCTGCCATGTGTGTGCAGAGGCCCAAGGTTGCAAGCCACCTTGTCCTGCTTTCCCAGGCCATAGCAGAGAGCTGGATCGGAAGTCAAGCAGCTGGGACTTGAACCGGCGCCCATATGGGATGCCAGCACGGCAGGCGGCGGCTTTCCCTGCTCTGCCACAGTGCCGGCCCCTCCATGATGTGCTGGTATGTGCTTCCATTTCTGAAATGCAAACAAAGAAGAACGCTGGAAAGACTAAGAGTGGAAAATAGGTTTCTTTATTTGGTAAACCCTTAGAAAGGCATACTTTAATTTCCTTGGTTTAGTTGTACAGTTTTTTTTTAACTTTTATTTAATGAATATAAATTTCCAAAGTACGATTTATGGATTACAATGGCTTCCCCCACATACCGTCCCTCCCACCCTCTACCCTCCCTTTTCCCCCTCCCTCTCCCCTTCCATTCACATCAAGATTCATTTTCGATTATCTTAATATACAGAATATCAGCTTAGTATACATTAAGTAAGGATTTCAACAGTTTGCTCCCACACAGAACATAAAGTGAAAAATAATAGATGATTTTTTTTAAATGATGATGAAATCAGATCAGACCTATTGTCATGTTTAATCCCAGTTAGAGTCAAGTTGGGAGGTGATAATTTCTTTTCTTTTCTTTTCATTTTTTTTTTTTTTTACAGAGGATTAGTTTAGTATACATTAAGTAAAGATTTCAACAGTTTGTACCCTCATCGAAACACAAAGTGAAATATATTGTTTGAGTACTCTTTATAGCTTTAAATCTCAATACACAGCACATTAAGGACAGAGATCCTACATGAGGAATAAGTGCACAGTGACTCCTGTTGTTGACTTTACCAATTGACACTCCTGTCTATGGCATCAGTAGTCTCCCTAGGCTCCAGTCATGAGTTTCCAAGGCTATGGAAGCACTCTGAGTTCTCCAACTCTTATCTTGTTTAGACAAGGTCATAGTCAAAGTGGAGGTTCTCTCCTCCCTTCCGAGAAAGGCACCTCCTTCTTTTATGACCTGTTCTTTCTACTGGGATTTCACTCGCAGAGATCTTTTGCCAGAGTGTCTTGGCTTTCCATGCCTGAAATACTCTCATGGGCTTTTCAGCCAGATCCGAATGCCTTTAGGGCTGATTCTGAGGCCAGAGTGCTACTTAGGACATCTGCCATTCTATGAGTCTGCTGAGTATCTCACTTCCCATGTTGGATCACTCTCCCCTTTATTTATTCTATTGGTTAGTGTTAGCAGGTACTAGACTTGTTTATGTGCTCCCTTTGACTCTTAGTCCTTTCATTATGATCAATTGTGAACTGAAATTGATCACTTGGATTGGTGAGATGGCATTGGTACATGCCACCTTGATGGGATTGAATTGGAATCCCCTGGTATGTTTTAACTCTACCATTTGGGGCAAGTCAGCTTGAGCATGTCCCAAATTATACATCTCTTCCCTCTCTTATTCCCACTCTTATGTTTAACAGGGATCACATTTCAGTTAATTTTTAACACATAAGAATAACTGTGTATTAATTACAGAATTAAACCAGTCATATTAAGTAGAACAGACAAAAAAACTACTAAGAGGGATAATGTATTAAGTTGTTCATTAACAGTCAGGGCTATGCTGATCAAGTCACCATTTCCCATAGTGTCCATTTCACTTCAGGAGGTTTCCTTTTTGGTGTTTAGTCAGTTGTCACTGATCAGGGAGAACATATGGTATTTGTCCCTTTGGGACTGGTTTATTTCACTCAGCATGATGTGTTCCAGATTCCTCCATTTTGTTGCAAATGACTGGATTTCGTTGTTTCTTACTGCGGTATAGTATTCTAAAGAGTACATATCCCATAATTTCTTTATCCAGTCTACCGTTGATGGGCATTTAGGTCGGTTCCAGGTCTTAGCTATTGTGAATTGAGCTGCAATAAACATTAGGGTGCAGACCGCTTTTGTGTTTGCCAATTTAAATTCCTTTGGGTAAATTCCAAGGAGTGGGATGGCTGGGTCAAATGGTAGGGTTATCTTCAGGTTTCTGAGGAATCTCCAGACTGACTTCCATAGTGGCTTGACCAGTTTGCATTCCCACCAACAGTGGGTTAGTGTCCCTTTTTCCCCACATCCTCGCCAGCATCTGTTGTTGGTAGATTTCTGCATGTGAGCCATTCTAACCAGGGTGAGGTGAAACCTCATTGTGGTTTAGATTTGCATTTCCCTGATTGCTAATGACCTTGAACATTTTTTCATGTGTCTGTTGGCCATTTGGATTTCCTCTTTGGAAAAATGTCTATTGAGGTCCTTGGCCCATCTCTGAAGTGGGTTGTTGGTTTTGTTTTTGTGGAGTTTCTTGATCTCTTTGTAGATTCTGGTTATTAACCCTTTATCTGTTGTATAGTTTGCAAATATTTTTTCCCATTCTGTCGGTTGTCTCTTCACTCTCCTGACTGTTTTTTTGCAGTACAAAAACTTCTCAATTTGAAAAATAGTTAATTTTGGCTTTGACTGCCTGTGCCTCCCGGGTCTTTTCCAGAAACTCTTTGCCTGTGCCAATATCTTGAAGGCTTTCTCCAATGTTCTCTAGTAACTTGATGGTGTCAGGTCGTAGATTTAAGTCTTTAATCCATGTTGAGTGGATTTTTGTGTAAGGTGAAAGGTAGGGGTCTTGCTTCATGATTCTGCACGTGGAAATCCAATTTTCCCAACACCATTTATTGAATAGACTGTCCTTGCTCCAGGAATTAGTTTTAGATCCTTGATCAAATATAAGTTGGCTGTAGATGTTTGGATTGATTTCTGGTATTTCAATTCTGTTCCATTGGTCTATGCATCTGTTTCTGTACCAGTACCATGCTGTTTTGATTACAACTGCCCTGTAGTATGTCCTGAAATCTGGTATTGTGATGTCTCCAGCTTTGTTTTTGTTGTACAAGCTTGCTTTATCTACTCGAGGTCTCTTGTGCCTCCATATAAATTTCAGCACCAATTTTTCCAGATCTGAGAAGAAGGTCTTCGGTATCTTGATTGGTATTGCATTGAATCTGTAAATTGCTTTTGGGAGAATGGACATTTTGATGATATTGATTCTTCCAATCCATGAGCATGGAAGATTTTTCCATTTCTTGGTATCCTCTTCTACTTCTTTCTTTAAGGTTTTGTAATTTTCATCGTAGAGATCTTTAACGTCCTTGGTTAAGTTTATTCCAAGGTATTTGATTGTTTTTGTAGCTATTGTGAATGGGATTGATCTTAGAAGTTCTTCCTCAGCCATGGCATTGTCTGTGTATACAAAGGCTGTTGATTTTTGTGCATTGATTTTATATCCTGCTACTTTGCCAAACTCTTCTATGAGTTCCAATATTCTCTTGGTAGAGTTCTTTGGGTCCCCTAAATAAAGAATCATGTCATCTGCAAAGAGGGATAGTTTGAGTTCTTCCTTCCCAATTTGTATCCCTTTAATTTCTTTTTGTTGCCTAATAGCTCTGGCTAGAACCTCCAGAACTATATTGAATAGCAGTGGTGAGAGTGGACATCCCTGTCTGGTACCAGATCTCAGTGGAAATGCTTCCAACTTTTCCCCATTCAATAGGATGTTGGCTGTGGGTTTTTCATAGATTGCTTTGATTGTATTGATGAATGTTCCTTCCAATCCCAGTTTGCTAAGAGTTTTCATCATGAACGGGTGTTGTATTTTATCAAATGCTTTCTCGGCATCTATTGAGATAATCATATGGTTTTTCTTCTGCAGTCTGTTAATGTGGTGTATCACATTGATTGTCTTGCGCACATTAAACCATCCTTGCATACCAGGGATAAATCCCACTTGGTCTGGGTGTATGATCTTTCTGATGTGTTGTTGCATTCTATTGGCCAGAATTTTATTGAGGATTTTTGCATCTATGTTCATCAGGGATATTGGTCTGTAATTCTCTTTCAGTGCTGCATCTTTTTCCGGCTTAGGAATTAAGGTGATGCTGGCTTCATAGAAAGAATTTGGGAGGATTCCCTCTTCTTCGATTGTTCTGAATAGTTTGAGAAGAATTGGAGTTAGTTCTTCTTTAAATGTCTGGTAGAATTCAGCAGTGAATCCATCTGGTCCTGGGCTTTTCTTTGTTGGGAGGGCCTTTATTACTGTTTCAATTTCTGTCTCAGTTATGGGTCTGTTTAGGTTTTCGATGTCTTCCTGGTTCAATTTAGGTAGGTTGCATGTGTCCAGGAATCTATCCATTTCTGATAGGTTTCCCTGTTTGCTGGCATACAATTCCTTGTAGTAATTTCTGATGATTCTCTTTATTTCTGGGGTGTCTGTTGTTATGTTTCCTTTTTCATCTCTGATTTTATTGATTTGGGTCTTTTCTCTTCTTTTTTTAGTTAGTTGGGCCAATGGGGTGTCAATTTTGTTTATTTTTTCAAAAAACCAGCTCCTAGTTTGGCTGATTTTTTGGAATGTTTTTCTTGATTCAATCCTGTTGATTTCTTCTCTGATTTTAATTATTTCTCTTCTCCTACTAGATTTGGGTCTGGTTTGCTGTAGGTTTTCTAGATCCTTGAGGTGAATTGAAAGCTCATCTATTTGGTGCCTTTCCAATTTCTTGATGTAGGCACCTATTGATATAAACTTTCCTCTTAACACTGCTTTTGCTGCATCCCATAAGTTTTGGTATGTTGTGCTGTTATCCTCATTTACTTCCAGAAAGTTTTTGATTTCTCTTTGGATTTCTTCTATGACCCATTGTTCATTCAGGAGCATGTTGTTCAATCTCCATGTGTTTGCGTATGCTCTAGGGATTCCTGAGTTGCTAATTTCCAACTTCATTCCTTTATGGTCTGAGAAGCTGCATGGTATGATTCTAATTCTTTTGAATTTGCTGAGGCTTGCTTTATGGCCTAGTATGTGGTCAATCCTAGAGAAGCTTCCATGTACTGCTGAGAAGAATGTAAAATCTTTAGCTGTAGGATTGAAAGTTCTGTATATATCTGTTAGATCCATTTGGGCTATAGTGTCGTTTAAATCTACTGTATCCTTGTTGGTCTTCTGTCCTGTTGATCTGTCTATTTCTGAGAGTGGAGTATTGAAGTCCCCCAGTACTATTGTATTGGGGACTAAGTCTCCCTTTAAGTCCGTTAACAAATCTTTTAGATAAACTGGTGCCCTGTAGTTAGGTGCATATACATTGATAATTGTTATATCTTCTTGTTGTATTGATCCCTTAATCATTATATAGTGCCCCTCTTTGTCTCTCTTAACGGTTTTTTTGGTAAAGTTTATGTTGTCCGATATTAAGATGGCTATGCCCGCTCTTTTTTCATTTCTGTTGGCATGGTATATCTTTTTCCAGCCTTTCACTTTCAGTCTGTATGGATCTTTGTTGGAAAGATGTGTTTCTCGTAAGCAGCAAATAGATGGGTTTTGTTCCTTAACCCAATCAGCCAATCGGTGTCTTTTAACTGGACAGTTCAGGCCATTCACGTTCAATGTGACTAGTGATAAGTGGTAATTTGCCCTGCCATTTGCCAAAGATAAGTTCTAATATATGCTTTGAATTCCCTGTGATCTTTTGCTCTGAGGTTTCCTTCCTTGGTTTCCTTCCTTTACCTTCTTTCATATTGATGACCGTGTTTCTGTGTTTCTGTGTGTAACCCATCTTTAAGCATCTTTTGTAGGGCTGGACAAGTGGCAACAAATTCTTTCAATTTCTGTTTGCTATGAAAAGTCTTTATTTCACCTTCATTCACAAATGAGAGCTTTGCAGGATATATTCTGGGCTGGCAGTTTTTCTCTCTTAGTACCTGGGCTATATCTCTCCATTCCCTCCTAGCTTGTAGGGTTTCTGATGAGAGGTCAGCTGTGAGTCTGATTGGAGATCCTCTGAGAGTAATCTGATGTTTCTCTCTTGCACATTTTAGGATCTTTTCTTTATGTTTCACTGTGGAGAATTTAATTACCACGTGTCGTGGTGAGGATCTCTTTTGGTCATGTTTATTAGGGGTTCTGTGAGCTTCCTGTACTAGGATTTCTCTGTCCTTCTCCAAACCTGGGAAATTTTCTGCTAGTATCTCACTTAAAAGGCCTTCTAATCCTTTCTCCCTCTCCATGGCTTCAGGAACTCCTAGAACCCGAATGTTGGGTTTTTTAATAGTATCCTGCAGATTCCTGACAATATGTTTTAGATTTCTAATTTCCTCTTCTTTTCTTTGGTCTGACTGTATCCTTTCCTGTTCTCTGTCTTCTAAGTCCGATATTCTCTCTTCTGCTTCACCCATTCTGTTAGTAAGGCTCTCTATTGTGTTTTTGATTTGATCTATTGAATTCTTTACTTCATTATGATTTCTCGTCACTATCACAGTTTCCTGTTGTACTAGTTGTTTTGTTTCATTTTGATTCCTCCTTAATATTTCATTTTCACGAGAGAGATTTTCTATCTTGTCCATTAAGGATTTCTGTAATTCAAGAATTTGTTGTTGAGAACTTCTTAATGTTCTTATCAATTTTTTGAGATCTGCTTCTTGCATTTCTTCTATGTCATCATCTTCATAATCTTGAATTGGGGTGTCTTTTTCATTTGAGGGCTTCATGGTGACTTCCTTGTTTTTATTACCTTGGTTTTTGCGTTTGTTATTTGGCATATTGGAGATATTTGGTTTCTTCACTGTGGTGCTTTTTCTTGTTATACTATGACTCTAGATTAAGTGGACTTCTGTTTTTTTTTGGAGCCTTAGAGGCTTGAGATGGGTGTGGCCTGAGAGCTCTGTTTGGTGTGCCAAAGGTGACACTCCCAGGTTAGGTGTGGTAGATCTCTCTCTCTCTCTTTTTTGGATTCAAAAGGGAAGTAAATCCGCACAGCTGAACGAAATTGGAGGTAGTTAGCAGGCAAATGATATACCCACAGGATCCAGAGATCAGAAGCTCTTTCCCAAGGACCACACAGGGAATCTGTTCTGCCCTAAGGGTGGGCTCAGATTCTCCTTTAGTCTCCCACTGGTTGCCAAAGTTACGGAATTGTAGTGTCTCTGGAGAGTACTCACTTGAATTCTGTGAGTTCTCTCCCCCACCATCTCTTTTTTCACAGTCTCAGTTCAGTAGCACCACAAATTTACTAGGTCCTAACCTCCTGTTAATTCGCCCCGCCCAGAGTCAGGTTTTTCTGCTAGGCTCAGGGCTGGTGCAGACCTGAGGTCGCTCTGCTTATGACGTATGTCCAAGATGGCACCTGCTCTTTGTCTTGCTCGCCCTTGAGAGGTGAGCGGAGAGAGAGAAACCCGTGTCCGTACCAGTCACCTTTTTTTCTCTCTCTCTCTCTTCTAGTTAGCCTGGTGAACTTTTCCCCCCCAGGGGTCGTTCCCTCTAGTCTCCTCTCTCCGCTTGCCTGCCGGTGTCTCGGGCTATTGAGGTATGGCTCACCTCGCATTCCAGTGCTGGTGTGTTCAGTCTGCCGCTGGTGTCCCAAACTTTGGGCTCCCATGCTCTCCACGCAGGTCCACTGTGAATCATGCATTCTGGAAGAGTATCTTCTGCTGTTTCCTCCCCTACTCTTCCTTGAATCTGCAGTATCTCCACTTTTATTAAACTGTCTCCCTGGACTATCAGTGTGCTCCCTTCCTATTCCGTCTTCTTGCCTCTAGTCTCATTATGTTTTAACAATGCTACATTTATCCAGCTCCATTTATATTGATTAATTGTAAATAATACACAAACCAAATTAGCATGAAGACTTTCTTTCTGGGGACTGCGTTGTGGTGTACTGGGTAAGACCACCACCTGCAAAGCTAGTATTTCATATAGGTGCTGGTGTGAAACGCAGCTGCTCACTTCTGACCCAGTGCCCTGCTTATGTCTAGTTTTAAAGTTTTTATTTAATTACTTTATTTCAAACATGGTATACACACACACACACACACACACAACTGTTTGAAAACACATTTCACAGTTAACTCTCCTAATGCAATTCATTCAGGACAGAGGTCCTGTGTGGGAGGTTAGTACGCTGTGATTTCAGTTGTGAGTTTAACAAACACAAACTGTGGCGATTCTGGAGGATGAAGGGCTCCTGTTCAGGAGCTTGGGATGATCACACAATGTGGTTGATGCTTCAAGACAATGGTTAATTTCCAGAGGCTCCAAGTAGGTGCAACGAAACTCCCAGGGACTGTGACAACCTGAGGTCATACATTGTGGTAAGAGAGAGGGCCATGAGGCTCGCCCTCACGATTGACTTGGAGAAATCTGTCACCAAGACTTCCATGAGAGGTGATGGAGAGGAAAGCATGAAGCAGGATTGTGTGTAGCCAAAGGAGAAGGAGGCCATTATTCCCCATCTTTCTCAGCTGCTTCAGAATCCCTTCATGAAGCAGAGAGTTCTGTGCCTCCAATCTCAACAATTGCTTAGCGACATGACACGCTGGAAAGCACACATCTCGATCCAACATTGTGGCCTCACACAAAACACAGTCTCTCACCCCTTGCAAATGCAGACGACGTAGACATTTGGTTCCAACCTGATTCCAATTCACACCTAGGACAGTTCATAAGGACAAACCCTTTGCCCTTGCAAATACAAACACTTCACTCGTGCACTGTCACCCAACCACATAATCGTGAAGTCCTCTTGCACTAACGTCAGCGGAACAGCAACAACAGAGGCCTCTTTGCAGGTTTGTTCTTCCTCTTGGGAGGTTTGCTCCTTCCTCCCGGACAAGGGAGGTTGCCAGGATTCATGGCAACCTGCTCAGTGATGTGCCCAGCTGCCCCGTGCAGCAGGGCCCTTTCCTGGTCAGGATGGTGCTTCCTCATCCCTGCGGCAGATCTTGCCTGGTGAATTACGATCGCATTGCTGGGCAGCGTGGGCTCCACTGTCCTGAGGCTGAATGCACTCCTTGGTGTGTTCTGGGCTTGGAGGGCTTGCCACGCATCCAAGGTCAAGTCCTGAGTTGTTTGCTCCAAGTGCTCCTCTGACTCTCCAGCTTCAAGAGGGGAAGGCCTTTCAAGCTCTCCTGGTGTATGGCCACGTGTGTTTGCAGCCTCCAAGTCGGAGGGTCCCCTGCCTGGAGACACTGTCCCATGTTCTCCTCCAACTCCACTCTTGCGGACATAAAATAGCACGTAGGCACTTTGATTCAGGACACAAGTGGTGTCACAGGCAGTTACTTTCGCATCATCCATTTTATACCAGTGGCCACTGCCAGCTTTGACATAGCAGAAGTAGTGTCCTGATTGACACCTCAAGCCAACGTGGACGAGAACCGCATAGAGAACATAGTCCAGTGGCCTCCCGTTCTGCTGAGACATGTAAGGTCTCATGTCAGGCAATCGGGATAGTGCACTTTTACACCAAGTTTCTCACCCGTGAAATCAGAAAACTGTTTCAATACAAAGAGAAGCACCTTGCCAGCCGATTGCAAGGTGAGTGTCTTGGAAGCAGCTGTCTTCTGTAGGCAGGTAGCACAGTGATAGGCGTTTTCTCCAGCCAGCTCTTCAGGTTGCACCAAGTGCTGCAAAGCTTGCTCCACACTGTCGGCTGTCTTGATATCCAACGCGATCTCCAGGTAAGGGTCCAAGGTTTCTGAAATGCCTTGGCACTGGAGACATTGGATTTGAGACCTCCAGTGTCCTCCCACTATCTTCTGGGATGGAGATTGGTCCTCTTGGGGACCCACCCCGTCCGTGAGCCCAGGCAGACCTGCTGCCTTCAGGACATCCAGAGCAAACATCAGAAATTCGTGGGCGTCTTCCTGCCTGTTTGGGTGAAAGCCAGCAGCCAGCACTTGACAGGGCTGGATCACGTCGCCAGGACTGTGCAGGGCCCAGAGAAAGTGCGTTTCCACGGCACACAGAATGCAGCGATCCGAATGACCACAGCTTTGAGAATGCACCTGGGACAGCATATAGTTGGCGAGGGGTGGGGTATACGTGAGACACTGCAGGGCTGCATTCAGGTAGCAGGTGTTGCCCGTATTCTGCAGACTGGGCCCAATGCCATAAGGTATACCTATGTATACAAAGGTTGTTGATTTTTGTGCATTGATTTTATTTTTATTTTTTTTTTGATTTTATTTCCTTCCACTTTGCCAAACTCCTCTATGATTTCCAATAGTCTCTTAGTAGAGTTCTTTGGGTCCCCTAAATAAAGAATCATATCATCTGCAAAGAGGGATGGTTTGAGTTCTTCCTTACCAATTTGTATCCCTTTAATTTCTTTTTCTTGCCTAATAGGTCTGGTTAAAACTTCCAGAACTATACTGAATAGCATTGGTGAGAGTGGGCATCCCTGTCTGGTACCAGATCTCAGTGGAAATGCTTCCAACTTTTCCCCATTCAATAGGATGTTGGCCGTGGGTTTTTCATATTTGCTTTGATTGTATTGATGAATGTTCCTTCCATACCCAGTTTGCTTAGAGTTTTCATCATGAAAGGGTGTTGTATTTTATCAAATGCCTTCTCGACGTCTATTGAGATAATCATTGGTTTATCTTCTGCAGTCTGTTAATGTGGTGTATCACATTGATTGTTTTTCGCACAATGAACCATCCTTGCATACCAGGGATAAATCCCACTTGGTCTGGGTGTATGATCTTTCTGATGTGTTGTTGCATTCTATTGGAGATAATTTTATTGAGGATTTTTGCATCTATGTTCATGAGGGAAATTACTCTGTAATTCTCTTTCAATGCTGCATCTTTTCCCAGCTTAGGAATGCAGGTGATGCTGGCTTCATAGAAAGAATTTGGGAGGATTCTATCTTTTTCGATTGTTCTGAATAGTGTGAGAAGAATTGGAGTCAGTTCTTCTTTAAATGTCTGGTAGAATTCAGGAGTGAATCCATCTGGTCCTGGGCTTTTCTTTGTTGGGAGGGCCTTTATTACTGTTTCAATTTCTGTGTCAGTTATGGGTCTGTTTAGCTTTTCTATGTCTTCCTGGTTCAATTTAGGTGTTTTGCATGTGTCCAGGAATCTATTCATTTCTGATAGGTTTCCCTGTTTGCTGTCATACAGGTCCTTGTAGTAATTCCTTATGATTCTTTTTATTTCTGTGGTGTCTGTTGTTATGTTTCCTTTTTCATCTCTGATTTTATTGATTTGGGTCTTTTCTCTTCTTTTTTTTTTAGTTAGTTGGGCCAATGTGTCTGTTATATTTCACCAGTGAAGCCGTCTGCTCCTGTGGTTTTCTTTGTTGGGAGGGTCTTTGTTACTGATTCAAACACTATTTAGGTTACAGGTTTGTTTAAGTGTCCTAAATGCCTCAATTTTGATAGTTTTATGTGTCTAGGAATCTATTCATGTCTTTTAGTTTCCTAGTTTGCTGGTGTGCAGCTATTTTTAATAATTTCTAATGATTAATTTTATATTTGTGGTATTTGTTGTTTCATGTCCTTTTCCATATTTGATTTTACTGATTTATTCTTTTCCCTTTTTTTGTTAGTTGTTCAAATGGTATGCCAATATTGTTTATTTTTCAAAAGACCAGGTTTTCATTTAAAGGATCTTTTTTATAATTTGATTTCAATTTTGTTTATTGTTCCTTAATTTTAATATTTTCTTGTCTTTTTAGTTTTTTTTTTTTTTGACAAGCAGAGTTATACAGTGACAAAGACACAGAGAGAAAGGTCTTATTTTATGTTGTTTCACCCCCTAAATGGCCACTATGGCCACCACACTTCACTGATCTGAAGACTGGAGCCTGGTGCTACATCCTGGTCTCCCATTTGGGTGCAGGGCCCAAGCTCTTGGGCTATCCTCCACTGCTTCCCTTGCCACAGCAGAGAGCTGGACTGGAAGAGGAGCAACCAGGACAGAATCTGGTGCCCCAACCGATACCAGCACCTGGGGTATCCGCGCTGCAGGTGGAGGATTAGCCTAGTGAGCCGCGGCACCAGCCAACTCTTATTAGGTTTGGATTTGGCTTGTCATTGATATTATAGATCAGTGAGATGCACTAATAGATAATTTGTGTGGTTCCTTTCCAGTTTCTTTATGAAGGCATTGATTGCTGTGTACCTCCCTGTTTTTTTTTTAATACTTTTTTAATTTGAAAGAGTTACACAGAGATAGGAGAAACAGAGAGAGCAGGGGGGGTGTTCTTCCATCTGATGGTTCACTCCCCAGTTGTCTGTAACGGCCGGGGATGTGCTAATCTGAAGCCAGCAATCAGGAGGTTTTTACGGGTCTCCCATGTGGGTGCAGGGGCCCAAGTCTTGGGCCATCTTCCACTGCTTTCTAAGTTCAGAGCAGAGAGCTGGATTGGAAGTAGAGAAGCTGGGTCTTGAACTGACACCCATATGAGATGCCAGTGCTTCAGGCCAGGAGGCTACCCTCTATACGACAGCTCCAGCCCCTGTACTTTCCTGTTAACACTGCTTTTGCTGTATTCCTTAGGTTTAGATATGATGTGTTGTCATCTTCATTTTTTTATCTGGTATTTCTGCCATGAACATTTTAGAATCTTTTGTTTGTTTTCCTGTGGCAAGATTGATTACAATTTTTCATGGTGAAGATCTTTTCTGGTCATGTTGTTAGGAGTTTTATGTGCTTCTTAAACTTGAATTCCGGAACAAGGTCGCCCACCACGTGGAAGCCGAGCCGCGGGACCGAGCCACGGAAGCCGCAGGGTCTGCGTGCCAGTGCTCCAAGGGGAGTGCATGCCACACAGACAACAGCGGGGAGACTTGGGATGTCCAGGGCTCCGAGTCCACACATCGGAGCTGGAAGGGGAGGTGAGCTCAATAACCCGAGACATTGGTGGGGAAACGGGGGTCAGAATCTAGATGGGGGCTGGAAAGTGCAGCAAACTCACTACCAGAAAGAAGGAAAAAAAGCTTCGGGGTTTCTCTTTCCCCCTAACCTTGCAAAGGTTGCAAAGCTGCAAGGCTTGAAGAATTTGCAAGAGACAAAGAGCAGGCCCCCTCTCTGGATTTACACATCAATGGGGGAGAGCTAAGGAACTGAGTCATTACAATTCAGTAGCCTAGGCAACCCAGTGGGAGTCCAGAGGAGCCTAAACAGACTCTGTGGGTAGAAGCCAGACTGGAAGCTAAATACCATCAATTCTGCACAGCATTGCCATGCGGTGTTACTTACCCCCTGAATAAATAAAATACATAAATAAATAAAAAGAGAGATATTTACCACGCATAACCTGAGGGTGTCACCTTTGCACACCCTTAACCAGGAAGAACCAAGCAGAGCTCTCAGGCCGCACCCATCTCAAGCATCCAAGGCTCCTCCAACAGCAGGCAGTCCACTTAACATGGACATAGTATAAAAAAAAAAGCACAGTGACGCAAGAAGAATTAACTATGCCAAGTAACAAACACAGAAATCGAGGGAACAAGATCAACGATGACACTATGATGCCTCCAAATAAACAAAACACCAAAAACAAGATTATGAAGATGAAGAGATAGAAGAAATGCAAGATACGGATTTCAAAAAATTTATGATAAGAACATTTAGAAGTTTTCAAAAGCAAATCCTTGAACTACAGAAATCCTTATTGGACAAGATTGAAAATCTCTCTCGTGAAAATGAAATTTTAAGGAAGAATCAAAATGAAACTCAGAAACTAGTAGAACAGGAAAGTGTGATAGTGAAGAGAAATCAAAATGAAATGAAGAGCTCAATAGATCAAATGACAAACACATTAGAAAGCCTTAAAAACAGAATGGGTGAAGCAGAAGAGAGAATATCGGACTTAGAAGACAGAGCACAGGAAAACATACAGTCAAACCAAAGAAAAGAAGAGGAAATTAGAAATCTAAAAAATATTGTTGGGAATCTACAGGATACTATTAAAAAAAACCAACATTCGAGTTCTAGGAGTCCCTGAAGGCATGGAGAGAGAGAAAGGATTAGAAGGCCTTTTAAGTGGGATACTAGCAGAGAACTTTCCAGGTTTGGAGAAGGACAGAGACATCCTAGTACAGGAAGCTCATAGAACCCCCAATAAACATGACCAAAAGAGATCCTCACCACGACACGTGGTAATTAAACTTACCACAGTGAAACATAAAGAAAAGATCCTAAAATGTGCAAGAGAGAAACGTCAGATTACTCTCAGAGGATCTCCAATCAGACTCACAGCAGACTTCTCATCAGAAACACTACAGGCTAGGAGGGAATGGCGAGACATAGCACAGGTGCTAAGAGAGAAAAATTGCCAGCCCAGAATATTATATCCTGCCAAGCTCTCATTTGTGAATGAAGGTGAAATAAAGACCTTTCATAGCAAACAGAAATTGAAAGACTTTGTGGCCACTCGTCCGGCCCTGCAAAAGATACTTAAAGATGTGCTACACTCAGAAACACAGAAACATGGCCATCAATATGAAAGAAGAGAAAGGAAGAACACCTACCAGTAAAAGAGCATGGGAAGCTCAAAGCATATACTAGAAAATATTTCCGGGAAAATGGCAGGGCAAAGTCACTACGTATCAATAGTCACATTGAACATTAATGGTCTGAATTATTCAGTTAAAAGACACCGTTTAGCTGACTGGCTCAAAGAACACAACCCAACTATTTGTTGCGAACAAGAAACACATCTCTCTAACAAAGAGGCAAGCAGACTGAAAGTGAAAGGTTGGAAAAAGATATTCCATGCCAACAGAAACCAAAAAAAAAGCAGGTGTAGCCATATTAATATCAGACAAAATAAACTGTAATACAAATCTGTTAAGAGAGACAAAGAGGGACACTATATAATGATTCAGGGTTCAATTCAACAGGAAGATGTAACTATTATAAATGTATATGCACCTAATTACAGGGCACCGGTCTATTTAAAAGATATGTTAAGGGACTTAAAGGGAGATTTAGATTCCCATACAATAGTACTGGGGGACTTCAATACTCCACTCTCAGAAATAGACAGATTATCCGGACAGAAGATCAACAAGGAAACAGCAGATTTAATTGACACTATTGCCCAAATGGATCTAACAGATATCTACAGAACTTTCAACCCTACATCTACAGATTTCACATTCTTCTCAGC